ATGAGTTGTCACCTTATTATAGGATGATGTGAGTGATTTTTTAAGAAAACTTGTTTTGATGTTGTTTGGTTGGAGGAAAAAATAAGAAAATGAATTATAAGAAACTTATTTCTTGTATTAGGTTGTTTTCTTTTGTTTGGTTATTTCTTAAAAATAAGAAAATAGATGATATGAGATGAGTTGTCATTATATTATTGGATGATGTGACCCACACTTAAGGAAATTATTTTCCTAGCTTTTTGGGAGGAAAACAAAGAAATGAAATGTTAATGAGATGAGATGAGTTGTCACAATCTTATTGGATGATGTGAGTGATTTTTAAATATGATATGAGATGAGTTGAGTGATGTTGTGGATGAAAATAATATTTTATTAGATGTGGTGGATGTGATGGATGAGTTGTTGGATGAAAATAATATTTTATTAGATGTGGTGGATGAGTTGTTAGATAAAAATAATATTTTATTAGATGTGGTGGGTGAGTTTTAGGGATAAAAATGTGTGAAATTGTACTTTTTGAGATTTCTTAGTTTTCATTTCTATTTTTTGGTTTTTTAGGAAATAACCAAACAGGCCCTAAAAAAAGTTAAAAGTGCGTCACTCTTTTGGTTAATTAAGCACAAATAACCCTAAACTTTAATCTCCTGAATTTGTATATACTTGACACTCATATAATTCAAATTTTTATACTTCTTATAATCTCCTGAATTCTCCAAGAGAAAATTGGGATGCCAATTTGTAACGAAATTTCGGATATAGATCCTCTCCAATTAGGTTGTAACTATAGTCCTATTACAACCTAATTTTAGAAGATCTATTTCCTATGAGTTCTATTTATGTATTTCTTATGTCTTGCTTGAGATACTTAATCCATGACCAAAATTTTCTATTAGACGAAACACTAAAATTCTACAAAACAAGATTACAAAATTTAAGAAGAATGTAAAGAAGTTATATTCTGCCGCATTCTAGTATTGCTTACTCTTTGCTTCTATCCTTGTAAGTATATCACCTATAAATTTTTTAGGGCTATTTAATGATTTATGCACCGTTCACATCCTCCTGTCGAAATGATGTTTTTGTTAAAAAACAAATTTTCAAAACAGCCCTAAAAAGATTTTTATTTTTCAAAATCGATCTACTTTTTTTTATTTATCAAAATTGACCTACTTTTTGCCACGTGAGCTTAATGAAGTTCCTAAACAGTCGGGGTTGATAACCCCGCCTGTTTAGGAGGGTGTTAAACCCCAATTAGAACCCTTAAACCCGAAATTTTCATGTCCTAAACAGTCGGGTTAAACCCCAATTAGAACCCTTAAACCCGAAATTTTCATGTCCTAAACAGTCGGGGTTGGCAACCCCGACTGTTTAGGAACTTCATTAATAAACCCGAAATTTTCATGTCCTAAACAGTCGGGGTTGGCAACCCCGACTGTTTAGGAACTTCATTAAGCTCATGTGGTAAAAAGTGGGTCGATTTTAATAAATAAAAAAATGGGTCGATTTTGAAAAATAAAAAACTTTTTGGGACTGTTTTAAAAATTTCCTCTTTTTGTTAAATTTTGTTGGCTTCCGCCTCTCCCTTGTTTGATGTTACTAGTTGGATTGCACGTGCAATGCACGTGGTTAAGTTTTCATTTTTTGTTTAAAAATTATAATTTTAATTATAATGTTTTATTATAAAATTATGGAATGTAAGTAATGGATAAAACATATATACATAATGTAAACATTCAACATCTTATAAGAATGTAAAAGAAGTTCAAGTTAAGAAGTCAAACAAACGTTATCTACCAACAATGCACTGTTTTGCTCTGTATTTGTGCATTTCCTTTCACTGTGATGTAAGGGTCCAAACATTATACATGCATTATCAGTCATGCTCTCAGTAAAAATGTTCCACTTGATGAGTCACTAAAGCTACTAAACTGAATGATTAATGTTACATTTGAGACGAGTAATACAATGGTAGAGGTTAGCTGCTGCTTTCTTCAAGAATGGGCTTTCTTCAATAGTACCTCGAAAGTTAGTTTTCTAGGAGATAGCCTGAATGCCCAAGCATGCGGCCAAGGCAATTGATCTCTTGCTGCACCTCCTGAGTTTTGAGTAAATGAATCTATAAGTTCTTTTTCAATTAATCCTGGAGATTCAATTTCTCTGTCCCAGACTGAAATTTATATATAAATGTTAATAGGTCATAAATAAAAGAGCACAACAAATGCAGGCATGTAATGATGAAGAATTCTATTTGTCCGCTCCCCCTCCTGTTATAACTGTTATATCAACTTTTGGATATTGGACTTTGTAAGTTATGTTCGCATCCCTCTTGTAAATTTTTAATAATTTAATATTTTTTCAATGAATAGGTCACCTTGCCTTGTTTTTCTATTTAAAAAAATACGGGAAGATGATTAAATTCATATTAAACCCTATATTTTTTATCTAATTTGTACTTGAAAATAGTTCAGCAAAATAAATAAATAATCAATAGACTGTACAAGTAGCAGAAGGAGAAGATGACCTTGCCAGCACCAAGAAACCAAAAAGTGTGTTCCGGTAATTTTTCACCAACCAAGTTTAGTGCTGGAACAAGCCCAGCCAGGACAATAGAAGCTGTTCCATGCAATGATTTAATTTATTAGATTATTGTTATTTTGTTCAAAAATCAAATAGAAAATTATTAAGTTGAAAATGATAGAAGGAATTTATCACACAGCTAACATAAAGCCACATGCTTGCTTTACCTGAATATCATCATTAAAGAGAAGATAACTTGTGCTATATTTTGCAAGCAATTCAAATGCATTATGGTTTGAAAAATCCTCAAACTGCATGCATAAAATTTTAGTTAAATAAACTTGTAGCAATAAAGGGAAAAAACAAAATTAAATTTGGTAAAAGTACGGTAATGCGTGGTAATTTGGCCAACCTGAATAAGTACTTTATCCTCATAGTTCTGTTTGACAGCAGTCATGAATTCATGTAGTAATTCAGCATATTCCTACTCCAAAACGTACAAGGCAACAGTTTAGTAATACTAATTAATGCTTATTGTAAATTCAAATAGCATGCTAGTTAGTGCCTATAGAATCCCGTACCTGACAAGTAGCAAGCTTGTGCTGCAACCCAATATAGAACTCATCATTCAACAATTGCTTATTGTTCGTGCCCACATCAATCGTGATGGGTAAGCACTGCGAATAAATTTAAATGTCTGTTGTCTTATTTCTTATGGAAAAAAACATAAAGCTCTGCCAAAGGACTGTTTAGGCTATTAGAACTAAAAAAACATAACAGATTAGGTAATTAACATGCTTACAGTATTTGGTCGAATCCCTCCAAGGGCTGTGT